TTTCATTCTCAAACCTCATAGCATTGAGAGAATAGGGCTTTTCAATAATCTTTATTTTTTCGAGAGCTTTTCAAAAGACCTTTGAACTTGTATCATACATTCAAGGACTTTTCATGGAATAGAAGAACCTGCAYGAACCCTGTTAATAGCTAAAGGATAAATATGTTACACTGCAATATCCACCGCAAACCACTGATCTGCCAATATGGCATACATAATTGCTTTGCAATCTATTATGAAACGTGTATTATCAAATTAACGCCCTCCCATACCCGTCGGAACTCCACTAACAAACCTCACTGAGAAATGAGGTTTATTCTTAATGGATTGTGATTGGTGGATTGTGATTGGTGGATTGTCATTAGTGAACTGTAATTGGTTGGTTTTGGAACATTGGTTATGTTGGTAATTGCTATTGGCTTTTTGGTTAGTGGCTGATTGACAATGGTTTTGTCCTTGTTTTACGAGGGTTAGGACTTAGCTACTGGCTAATAAACCTGTGACCCTCATTCCATGATTGAATTGAAATTTAAAAGTTGATTTTTGAGAATTTGGAGATATCCCTCAAACAACAGGAGAGAACCAACTAAAAACTCTCCTCAAATGTGATGCTAAGCACGTGGGACGAACTTAGGAACTGCAGAGAATCTGGAGATATCCTTCAAAGAACAGGAGAGAACCAACTAGAAACTCTCCTCAAATGTGATGCTAAGCACGTGGGACGAACTTAGGAACTGCAGAGAATCTGGAGATATCCTTCAAAGAACAGGAGAGAACCAACTAGAAACTCTTCTCAAATGTGATGCTAACTGCGTGGGACGAACCTAGCAGTAGTATTTAGTCATATGCTAGAATACAATGAACACGGCATGCTGCATTGGCAGATCAGTGGTTTGTACTTAGTGAAAGACCTGAATACGAACCAACATGACGTCATTCTTCACRAACTGACCATCACGTAACAACTGCTCAATCTGACAAAACTCAACATAACCATACCCCTTATGGTTCCTYGCTGTTGTCGGCTTCTGAAAGGCCAAAAGGTTGGGCTTGGCAACCAGAGTTTCGCTTATTGGACGACGAAACTCTACATTCTCACTTTGATCCAGTATGGCCAATGTAATGCGGCCTGTGAACGGCCACTCCAATATATCATCCCAGTCTCCTCTCATCATGTGCACAAAGAGAGAGAGATGGTGACCAAACCCACTATCAACACCATTCAGGTTCATTCTTAGACACATCTTGTACCCATACAGGCTAGTGTAGAAGGGTGGTGAGTGGATAGCAGGTACTGTATTGTCCATTGCCTGACCACGCTGGTACGTAAAATTGTCAATCTTCCAGATAAAAGTTCCGGCACTCACCCTCCCTTCCAGTTCAATCACTCTTTCTTCTAGTTTCAATATCTTTTCCTCAAGTGCATCATTACTTCTCAGTGGTTGCCGTGGTKGTTGAAGGCTTACAGGTCTTAGTTCTTGTCTGAAAGGTTCTTCGTGTGAAGTACTTGGACCTGCAGATCGCACAACTGCTGTTGCCGCTGGTCGTTCTTGTAGCTTTTGCACTGTTTTAGCAAGGTCTTTGAAATGTTGAACCTGTTTGTCTGCAATGTGTTTGGAAACATCTGGATTGTAGCCCTGCAAAAGTAAAACTTGCAATCAATGAATTCATCTGGCATTAGGGACRTTTATGGGCATGAATTCAAATACTACCTAGTTATTTGGTTATTGTCTAGACTTATATGAAATTGGGACCACCAATTTATTTTTTGAGTAAAATATGAAATAATTTTGATAACTTTCTAAGTTTACATCGTTTRTTTTGCCAATAGCTTTTTCAACCCAAGGAAAGAAAACATCTTCAAAAATAAAAAGATTTTACTGAACAGTTTTTGAATCATTTTGCYTTAAAGACATGAAAATCTGATGCAAAAAGTCTAAATTGGCCATGAGCAAGTGTACCCAAGAAAACCATTRGATAACATCTCTACAATTAAGATTTCAATAAGTCAATATTTTACAGTAAATAAACAAAGAACAAAATCTTTATTATCTCTGATGACTATTAAACCAAAAGAATTTCTTTTACCTCAAATGTACAGCCCAGATAGAACAGAGGACACCTAGATTTTTCCTTTGGGCAGTCATTCTCTGAATGGTTGGGCATCTAAACAAAAAAACAAAAACCACTGTTATGATTTAAGGCAGTATTGTACATTATCCATGCATGAAGATGGCTGTACTGTAGTTTACTCACTCTACACTTATGAAAATGTATTGCAAATACAGATATATGTACGTATACAAACACACTCAGTCTCATGATTAAATTACCTGATTTCTTGGGATATCCTTCTTGCCGCACTTTTTACATTCCAAAGGTGCCTCAGGACATTCTTTTTCGTGGATCTATGACAACAAACAAAAACATGTCAACTGAAATCACTGACAGAGKTAAAACAGATTTTACAACAACTTACTAATTTCTCGCTCGCTGATTGGCTATTTTTTATCATCAATAAGAGAATCAGACACAAAAAACTGTTGTGCATGACATGTGATCTACCTCTTAACATTACATGCCATATACGTTATTATCATCACAGACAAATTGTGAATTGAAYATATAAAACAATTTATCATATTCTCAAATACATTCTATTTGCAATAACCATAAAGGTAACCTAGGTCTAGATAGCTAAATTAATGTCTTTTCTCATAATGATACTGGCACACAAAAGGTCATAGGTTCCATTCACAAACTAATTTTGATCTTAAAGTTTAACAATAATTCCCATGCATTCTATTGTTATGATCAGTAGTAATCAACGTTGATGTAACAAGATAGATATGAGTACCTTAGCTTCAGATACAAAAATACTGTTGTGGCAAAATGGGCATTCAGTTTTACGCTTTTCACAGTCTTTTTCCATGTGCTCTTCAAGTCGTTGTAGTTGGATCTTCTTGCCACAGGAATTGGGACACTTGACATCAGAAAATGGACACATTTTCATATGCTCCTGAAATGATACAATACACATTTTGTAAAACTACACATCTCATACAATAACCATTCTTATGGGAAGCCATTTCAMTGTWAYRGCATGTYGTACCGTGTACGTACTGTAAGTCAGTAATGTACATTTCTCACTCATATGATAACCATTCTTAATGGATGCCATTTCAATGTTATGGCATGTGCTACATGCTTGTACCACATGTTTGCCACCCATACGATTCGTATTGGAAACCATTTCACTGTAACAGCATGTCGTATCATGTACGTGCTGTAAGTCAGTACTRTGTGTTTCCAGAGTTCATACAATAACCATTCTTATGGGAAACAATTCTTTTGGGAAGCCATTTCAATGTTGYGGCATGTCCTACGGTGTACATGCTGTAAGTCAGCACTGTATGTTTCCCACTCATACAATAACCATTCTTATGGGAGGCCATTCTTTTGCAGCATGTTGTAATGTGAACACATACTGCAAGTCGTTATCGTAAGTTTCCTACACATGCAATACATTCTTAAGAGAAGCCATTTCAGTGTTACAGCATGTTGCACCACTCATATATTGTAATGCGTATCTAATACTGAATGTCATTAGATGCAGTAGTATTCATTAACAGCCTACAGGTGTACCTCCAGTTTTCCCAATGGTCCATTCCAAGAACACCCTCTGTCTTTCTTGTGTCTGCACCAAACAGTGAAGGAACTCATTTCTCTCTTAGCAAAGTTGTCTGGATAGAGCTGATGAAAAATACAACACAAATCAATCAATACTTTTATTCTTTAAATCAGGTTGAACTTGCATATCTCTGCGATGCCTTCTTCATCTTATAGTCTTAGGAGAAATCACAATGGCATTCTTCTTAGTTATCCTCCTGCTTATGCTAAGAACACTTTTTTCTGTTTTCTTACGCACTTTGCCTAAATTATGGAACCATCTTCCTCTTGAAATTAGGAGTTTCATTTCCATTTTATCTTTTAACTTTCAGCTTAATACATTTTATTCAAGAAATCTTTTTATTGATATTATTGTTATATGTATGCATATATTTACTTTTCACTCTTATATATAAATATTTATTATGATTCATGGTAGTTTATTTTCTGTGATGCACATTTGAGTATGTGCTGTAATTTGTGCAATATATAATAGTTATTATTATTATTTATCATATGGTTTTATTATATGACCGTGAATYTTAGAGCCTGGACACTAGCAAATCAAGCAATCTGATTGGATAGAYCGCATCACGCACTGGTCTAGATTCTCGGGTATTAACCGGTCCGATCGCATRTTAATCTTACGCGAAAACATTTTGTCCTTTTCAATGAAAAGTGGTCACATAATAAAACTCTTATCAACCGAGCTTGGTCGGTCTGTATGGGTTAATCTTGACCTCGGTCGGGTACAGACCTCAGTCAAGATTATCCCGTACAGACCTCCTGCTCGGTTAATAAGATCTAAATATTAAATACAAATATAAATAAACTATAACTACATATATCGGCATATACAAATTACCAAGTTACTTTCCTGTTTATCTACATCACCCATCCCAATTTTATTTACATACAAACAACTTCTTTTGCCTAAATACAAATTGTAAATTTGGTAAATTCATTGTTATGCATATGTAAGTAGATCATTTACAGCATAGCATTTGACTATGCAAATTTTACCAACAACATGTAATAACCTTTGGCCTGATATAAGTTATGACCTGGCTAACTCAAAGATAGAATAGGAAATTATCTTGTTGGGTTTTATGGAGGAAAGAAAACAAGTGGGGACACTTCAAATCAACGGGGAGAGGCAGATGAGATGTGAGTGCATCAACACTATGCTGCCCTTGATTTGAGAAAGAGAATAAAGAAAAGTCACTTACTCCTGATTCAGTAAGAGGCTCATTATCCACTGGGCATCTATTGCCTGACTCCCTGAAATAATAAACAAATATAACTGTCATTAACTATGTTATAAAACTGAATGTGATTTTGTGTGTTTTTATTATCATTATTTTTTATTTTTTATTTTTGTTTCCTCATATTGTAATGACCTCATCATGCAAAATTTGAAAACATTTCAATGACAATTTGAGTGTTGACCTTTATTTTTCCCTTGATTAATTCATAGRCCAACAAAACATCATATGACAAGCAATGAGTAAGAGATTTTCTGGGTTACTTTTTTCACTTTCACTTTGAATACAATTAAGAGATTTTATTTCCCGTGTCTGTCCGGGCGCGCGCTCTTAAAAAAACCTATGTACAAATCCAAATGGCCCTGCTCGAAACCTGCGACTGTATTTTTTTCTTTCTTTTATTTTATTATTTTTCTGTTCATGGGGGTCATATGATAAAATGCTTAATGACTGAGTTAGGTTGGGCCATACGGGAAAATACAGCTGTATTTGGCTGTTGGTMATTTGTACAGGCCTCACTGTGCTTGGTATATACGGCATCACCTCGAGCCAAATATTTTTCCGTACAGCCCTCCCACTCAGTCAATAAGTACATATTATCMTTCAAATTATTTTTTCCTCCTTTTGATTAGAAAAGACAACTGCAAATAACTACCTGCAAATAATATTCTGCTTATGTGCATTATGATGCAAAGCTGTTTGCTGCAAGCTGTTTTACTCCTGTGCAGTAAYGATGCATTTGTCAACATCGCTCACTTCCCTGAGACTTGGTAAGTTTCATAGACAGTAAAACCAGCCAAAATGCAAAACGAAAGTGGAAAAATATGATTCAAATGATAAAACAATTTATTATTGAACTTGGTTATCACAAAATATTGTTGTTCGTTAGTGTCTTGCCAGCAAATATGATTTACTAACGAATTGCGACATTTTGCTCAACCTCATCCAATAATTGCTTAGCATTGCTATAAATCATCTTCATCATCATCTATCTTTCTGTCCAACTCTGCTCTGCAGCAGGTGCACCTTTTGCCCTACTATGGTGTTGTGATACCATCTACCAAAAGAGTTTACTAAACCTTGAACTTTTTTCCTGGAATCATACCCGTTTAAATATTTAAGTTTTACTTTCATTTTCGAAATCTACAAGGATTGCTAAAAAAACGGAAAAGATTTCTAAAGATGAAGAACGAATGGACGAAACTATTGCCACTATTATTGAAAATATTGTTAGGAATAAAAACGCTCTCGTAGATTTCCATGACAACGGAACTATATGGTAAAACTACACTTTATCTACTTGGAATACAACTGTAAAAGTTCACAAGACAAAGTTGTTATACACATATACCTTAGTGAACGTAAAATGCAGCCTCTGCAGAAACGATGCCCACATTCTGTCTGTACCGGTTCTCTCAGACCAAGCAGGCATATTGGACATTCATACTTATTCTCCAACGGAGGATCGAAGTATTCATCGTAGCCTTCTGATTTCCCTCCACTGAACTGAAGACTGTTAGCTTGACGTTTTAATGGTGGACTGTCATTGTGAGACCTTCTGGAGAACTCGTCCAGTGAACGACTCATTTTCAGTTGTAGGAAAGCGTAATAGGCCTTCTTACAACATCGCTTTTGATGGTAAAGTTCAACGAGACTGTTCCTGTTTATCGGGTATCTACGGAAAATATGCAAGTTTTTAGTTTTAACCTGAACAAATAATAATTAGGGGAATAATAGAAGGGAATTTCCCTCGTCCCATCATGCACTAGACTCTTCCACAGTCTCTCGCTCGTCCGTTCCGTCCCCACGCTTAGAGACTGTAACGGTACAATGACCGAAAGGACTTATGGGTCCCGAAAACTTGGACCCAGCGTGCTTTGGGAACCAAAATACTCGTCCACAGTCTCTCTCGTTTCAATATTTTCAAGATGGCGGCGAAAACGAGAGAGACTGTGGACGTGGTTCCCAAAGCACACTGGGTCCAAGTTTTCGGGACCCATAAGTCCTTTCGGTCATTGTACCGTTACAGTCTCTAAGCGTGGAGACGGTACGGACGAGCGAGAGACTGTGAGAGAGTCGAAGCTCACTGGAGGGTCTCACTGACAAGAGGAAGATACTATCCGAGAAGGTTGTCGTCGCTGGGTTTAGTTTTGTTTTACTAAAATGAACTAATGAAACTCCTCCAGTACCAAGTTCTACCTTAATTCTTCCTCGTAAACCACTTTAAGATGATGGCAGTAGATGTATGCATGGTTCTACGGCATGGAGGATGTTGTTAGCTGGCAGTATGGGGGTCTTGAAGGTGCGAGTATTGGGAGTCTTACTCATGTTATCTCTTGGTTCGTCTGTTGTGTTATGGTGGATAACCCCTCCTGTACATCATTCACAAGGTATTTTACTCTATATTACACATTCTATATCAATAGACTTGAAGAAACATCAACACTATATTAAATATATCGAAATATGTACAAATATGATAAATATCACTGATCAACATATGGCATACAAACTGATTTATCACTCATTTTCAACATTATTCCAACTTGTTTCAAAAATACTTCCTTTAATATTAATATTACGTATATACTCTTTTAATGTAGTTATTCTTTTTAGTATTGTCCTCCTTCCAAATTCCAATCCTTACACGGAATGTAGTCTAGTTTATCGTTTATTGTTTTCATAGTGACAATTTGAACAAGATATTTCTTCCATAATTGTATCAACACTTTAAATTCTACTCCTTTAGGAACTTAGATTTTATCCCAAATATTTTGAATTTAATTTCATTCTTTTTCAAAACGCCTTCCATATAACACGACAACTGGTTTTGGTTYGTATTTCTAAAGCAAACACTTCAAATGTATTCAAAGGTTTATCAATATTATCTTAAAGCCTGTTTTTTGTCATCTGTCATATTATCACACACCAGTTAGTTATTCTTTAGGATCTGTTTTCATTGAACAATTGAACCTAACCCTAGTATTCTTATCTTTGGCAGGTTTTGTATTTTTATCTCTATTTGAAGCAAAACACATGCAGAATCCATTTAAGCCCAGAAATTCTGGAWGCTTCATTTAATAACATCAAACTAGATTTCATTTAACCAAACAGATGTTTATCATTTATCTTGCTACACTGGGCTTCCACAGTCTCCAGTGATAACACAAACTTCTAATAATCMAATCTGGGAATTAAGGGTGCTGTGGGTTTTTCTGGTTTTTGTCCCTTTGAAAAACCTACATTTATATTTCAGTTTAGTTCTAATTTCTGTGAGGTACGTAGCCATGCCCTGAATTATTTCAGTGCATATAGGGTCGTTGTTTCACATTTTAAGGATTTATTTTTTTGCAAGGAAAGTTATCTGTCTGCATTGATAGCCAGGACTATTTGTGTAGCTGGTAGATTGCCTATAAACAGTCATGTAACACTAGAAGACAGGAATATGATATCATCTGTCACTAGTCTAGTAGCTTCATCATGGTACTATGTGAAATAACTGTTAAATTCTTTAAATCTGTTTGATCGTGGTAAGCCATTGAACTTATTTAAGAAGTCCAAGGTTTTGGAACCAAACCTTAGATATTATTTCTATGCTTTGTTTTGCTCTTTGTTACATAAACTAATAATTGAAMAATTTTAGCACAAATTATCACTGATGATTGTAGAAAGAAAAACAAAAATTATTCTTGCTAGAAAAAAATACTATATTCTTTTTGAACATATTGACTCATTTTTGTGTGAAAGTAAAACCACCCAACTTCGTTACCTTGTTTATTATTAGTACGAATGCATGTCTGTATTATAAAGATGATTATAACACACAAATGCCTTGAGGTATTGTAAAACATGACCTTCAATAGTTTAACCCCTATTTATTGCWTGTACATGTGTCATCTATATTTATCCTAGACTAGTGTGTGTACTATAGACTGTACTCATGAGAATAACATATTATATATCACATTATATATATTCATTCCTCAGACGTGTTTAGGTGTTTAGGTGGGGTGATTGAGCTTAGAGAATGGAATTCAGTCYCTATTTGGTATTTATTTTACAAAACACATTTTTCAGCCGTACATTTGCCATCCTCAGTGTAAAGTGGAATGGGTCAGAGTATAATTCTGAGAAAGAATATAAATAGCAAACRAATTAGAATAATTAATAATCCCTTGAAGCAAGGGATTTATACAGATAGTTTGACATGTGTTAAGGGAAGGGTTTTCCCAAAGGATTTAGAGCACTTCTTTTACTTTTAGGGTGAACTGCATTGGTATTATAAAATATYACATCTATTCTTACATTGTAATACAACACTATTCTGTTGGCTCATACTTCATGCAGTGTTGATATAAAGTACTAGTATGGCAATATTAGTGTCTAAGTTAGACTCTCTCTAGAATTAGTACTYAATGCATTACTTTGAAGTGCTTGTCTCCAGGCTTATTCATATGATGATTATTTTTTATTAGTAAAAATACACAGGTGATTATTGAAAATCTTGTGCGCTGATTGGTTGAGAAACTCACACTATCACACGATAACCACCTCCAGTGATAATCCTTAGTGTCTAAGTTAGACTCTCTCTAGAATTAGTACTCAATGCATTACTTTGAAGTGCTTGTCTCCAGGCTTATTCATATGATGATTATTTTTTATTAGTAAAAATACACAGGTGATTATTGAAAATCTTGTGCGCTGATTGGTTGAGAAACTCACACTATCACACGATAACCACCTCCAGTGATAATCCAAAATGGTAGCCAGCCGCTTCGTTGCTGTTACCAGAAAAAAATGTCTTTTATATTCTTTTTATTTTATTTTTTGAAAGAATCACCTGCGTATTTATACTAAAACAATTATTTGCCTCAGCCTCAGTGAATAACRAAGAATATTTACCTCGCCGCTCAAAGACTCAAAAACCCTGAATTCTATATTTTTTATGGGAGTTAAAAGCCATTACTGTTGCTTTTGTACATGTTTTTTCGTTTCAGAGTTCGATTTGTGAGCCCAGCTCTGCCCTGACTTAGATCACCCTAAAGGCTGTTTTAGTGTTCAAACTTTGCTCTAGCTTGCCCTAAATTAGAGCAAYCCAGAGGTTGTTTCAGGTTTAGACCTGTGAGTCAGTCATGYCCTGACTTTGTTCAGTCCAGAGGCTGTTTCGGGATTTGATGTTCCTGAAACAGTATATTATGTTTGTTTGTTTGTTCCATAGGTAGCGACATGCCCAGGATACAGATATCTAAGCATGCTAGTGACAACACTATGTTATGGAAAAAACTTGCCTCTCTACAGAATCAAAATGATGATCTCAAAAATCAACTGAAATTAGCCAATCAGAGACTTCACGATGTAAACCTTAAACTAGTCACTCTTAAAGATATTAATCAAGGTGATGTTTTATTGTTGTTATTGTATTATAGTTAGTATTATTATTAATTATTGTATTATGGTGATGATGATGATGATGATGATGGTGATGGTAATAGTGATGATGATGATGGTGATGATGATGATGGTAATAGTGATGATGATGGTGATGGTGATGGTAATAGTGATGATGATGGTGATGATGATGGTAATAGTGATGGTGATGATGATGATGGTGATGATTATATTAATACATATTAATAATATATTAACCGCTATGTAACCGCCACCCGGTTAGCTCAGTTGGTAAGAGCRTYGGTMTGTTGTGCGGGAGGTCGTTGTTCAAGCCTCGGCCGGACCAACACTCAGGGTCTTAAAATAACTGAGGAGAAGGTGCTGCCTTTGTAATTACATCTGCAAATCGTTAGACCTTCATGTGGCTCGGATGATCACGTTAATGGYGTAATTAACTAGAGATGTTAACAGAGGACCACAAGTTTATCAGTTGAGATACTGTCAAGTGTTATCCTCTATAAACAAAGTTAATAATATTTTTTTTATTTATGTTTTTCCCCCTTCAGATCAAAGTGCTAATAAAACATCTGGTTGTCCAGATACATCAAGCCTTTCTCAGTGTGAGGTGAGTTCCATGAATAAGTAATGCAAACGCTGATAAGAAACTGAATTCATAATAAAAGCACTGTGCATTGTTGGTCAGCATGTATATGATAACATGTACTATTATTTATCTGTTTAGGTTATCCATATCTGTGTGGTATGTGCTGGTCATGATGCCACCAGACAAGCTGTAACCCTCGTCAAGTCCATTATATTCTACCGTCATAACCCTTTACATTTTCATTTTCTCACTGATTCAGTCTCTGAAATTATTTTATCAACATTATTTAAAACTTGGAAACTACCAGCAGGTAAATATATCAAATTATGGTATTGATGGAGATTTGATGATTATGAGAATCATGACGTTTTAACATTTTGTACAGTGATTATTGATAAATTGTTTTGTCTTCCAGTACAGATGGCCTTCTACCCCATCACCGATCACATGGTAATGTACCAACACTTTATAAGAAAATATGTGGACGGCATTCGTTCATTTCATGTTTAAAGCTCWTTTCAATACCCAAAATCATGTAGATTTGCAAGCATTGCATAGGTGTAGACATACTTCAGAAGAATTGACTGAATATTGTAATATTTATAGATCAGATAAAAGCCATGCAAAGGTTATGTCCCTAACCCTAAACCCTAACCCTAAGGGGACTTGGCCATAAAATAGTCTGATTTTATCGAGCTTAAACTTTACTAGAACAATCTAGCTGTTTGAGAGTCTAGAACAAGGGTCTAGATCAAAGTTTTTCTTGATTTTTGGGAAGTATTATATATTTACTAAATGTTTAGAGAAGTCTGTGACGTCATTTGCTCATCAACACTGTGCCCCAAGTGCCCCTTTAATCAGTTCAGAATAGGATGCCATGAAATATTCATATCTTGACCACACAACATCCTTCTTCCAGGGGTAGTTCTAGTATATATTATTACAGAAACATTCCCAGACTAGGCCAGGAAGGAGGTGGCCAAGAAGAACATTCATCTGGACCCACCCATTTGACTAAGACCATGAAGTGGCTAAATTGAGAACTGGAGAATGTGGAGAGAAACCCTTAAATCAAGGAAAAGACTTAACAAATTCTACTTCCATGTGATGCCGAGTGTGGATCCCTTTCTTGAACTTGATTTTTTATTTAATGACACCCCCACCCATACCCCCTTGGTAAAAAATAAACAGTCCCTTACAATGATGGTGTTTCTTTCCACAGGATAAGGTCAAGTGGTTACCTAATAAACACTATTCTGGAGTCTATGGTTTGATGAAATTAGTGCTCACAGAGGCCCTCCCAGAAGCTCTTGATAAGGTAAATACTATCCCAGGTTTCATCTTACTAATACAGTACTAAACAAACAATATAAGGTTGTCAAATGAAGTGTTATTGCCCCACTAGGTCATTGTACTGGATACTGATATCATACTTGCATCAGACATAGCTGAGCTGTGGAGGCTGCTTGACAACTTGACTGGCAAGAAAGTAAGTCATGTGTACATGATAGAGATAACACATGTTAGCACATGCTTCAAACCCAAAAATACCTCATGTATAATCTATGTGAAAGCCTCAAGACTACCACATGTTAGCAGGGCTTGAAATAATGGCCAGACAATTAAGGCCGGCCAGATTTGGTACTTTTCTTAATTGTCTGGTCAAATCTTTGTCTTACCAGCCATTTTCAACAGTAGGGTTTAGCCCGATATGAGGTATGACTGTGGAGCTAAATTAATTAGCATGTGATCATGACTGGTCCAAGCCCTGGATAGAGATAATGGCTATTATTATACCTTTTACTAAGTATCTCAATTCTGATTGGTCGAGAGCCCTCAGCCAATCCCTGATATCGTGTGAACTCGACATGATAAATGTATTATCTGTAGGTCTTCCTACAGATAATACATTTATCATGTCAAGTTCATTCAAGGTCACACTGTAGTAACTTTGTTTTTATTCATYATGTGTATTTATTTCCAGAATTATGCACAAAAACAATTATCTAAGGAATCCTTAACTCATTTTCATATATTTCATGAAGAAATCTCGAAATATTTCTGAATTTAGAATTTTGCATTTTTCACGCAACATCATGGCGTTCATAATTCTTGTCTCTATAATTTAATGTTCATGTTTTTTTTTTCAGTATACAAAATGTATAATAAAGCAATTATTGAATTTGGTTGTTGCATAATATCTTAAATTATCAAGACCGAGGCTGTGTTATCATGCTCAACCTCATCCAATAATTGCTTATTATATGTAGCCATACTATATCTTACCATAACTGTAACTATGCTTTGTGTTTTGGGTTATCAGTATGATTTTTTAAAATTATAACTATTGTGTGTTACCCTCTTGACATAAAGTCCATTCATTCATTCATTGTGTTTGTTGGTGTGCCAAGGCAATAGGTCTGGTAGAGAATCAAAGTGATTGGTATCTTGGTAAACTATGGAAGAACCACAAACCCTGGCCTGCTTTGGTAGGTACTGTCATATTGTCATCCATCATGGCTGCCGTCATGTAATAACACAAAACCTCTATACTGATTGTGGGTATTTTTCAAGGGCCGTGGTTTTAATACTGGAGTGATGATACTAGACTTGTATAGATTAAGACAAATGAACTGGAAACATGTATGGAGACTTACAGCTGAAAAAGAACTGATGAACATGTTGTCTACGACACTGGCTGATCAAGTATGTAACCTGTGTGTGATGGCTTACATGATAGTGGATAGGGTAGGGGGTCAGCAAGTGCTTGGTAGGGGGTCAGCAAGTGGTTGGTAGGGGGTCAGCAAGTGGTTGGTAGGGGGTCAGCAAGTGGTTGGTAGGCACTTCCACCTTGTGGACTCATCATTATCTTATTACTACAGGATGTTTTTAATGCTGTAATCAAGAATCAACCTCACATCATATTCACACTACCCTGCGTGTGGAATGTCCAGTTAGGGGACAACACTAGAAGTGAGGTACAATATTGCATTATTCATTTTATATCAATTATCAGTTGTTTTGCTATTTATGATTGATAATTCATTTTAATATCTATATTATTTCATACTCTTTCCTCAGCAATGCTATTCCAGAGTCACGGAGCTCAAGGTATCATAATTATGTTGAAAGCTGCTCTAAAAAATCATAAACATTACCAACACAACAAATTGTATTGTTTGATGGTTGGATAAGTTGCCCCCAACCATCTAGCCCCCTATATACATACTGAGATTTACAGATTTACTCAGTAAGGGCTAGATGGTTGGGGCTAGATGGTTGGGGCTAGATGGTTGGGGCTAGATGGTTG